CTTCCATGGCCTCCGCGCGCAGCCCTCTCATTCGCCGCACTCGCTCCGCCCGCGTACTCGACAGCCCCGCAAATCCGGATCCCGCGATCCGCCGGAATCCGCGCGCGGGCTGTCGGTAGTGGCGAAGCAGCGCGGCACGCAGAGGATCGCGAAGACGCAACGCGGCACGAGCAGTGGTCGGGGCACGAAGCGCGGCACGCAAATCCTTCCGCGGAAGGGCAGAGCGGAGGAGCTCCCGCCATCGAGGGGAACCGTCATCTTCCGCCGAAAAGACTCCGAGGATAGCGCCGCCAGCCGCGGCGGCGCGCAACAGGACGAAGCCGCGGCGCCCGCCCCCCGCCCCGAGGAGCTCCCCGCGTCGCCCGGGCTGTTCTACCCGGTGGTGCGGCTGGCGTCGCTGCTGCTCGGCCCTCCCGGCCCCGATGCGAAGACGGTGTTCGTGTCGGGCGGCGCGGCGGGCCCCACGGCGTCGCGCGTGGTGGCGGAGCTGCTGGCGGCGGGGTTTAAGGTGCGCGCGGGCGTGGAGGAGGCGGATAAGGACGCGATGAAGCAGCTGCTGGCGCAACTCAAGGTACGCGGGGAGGCATGGGATGAGCGCAAGAGCAGGATCTGGGCTCTAGATTCTTGAGCTCTGAGATTTTTTTTCGGAAAAAGAAGGGACGAGAACTCTGTGAATAGGCGGTGGGGTCAATGTGTGCGGAGAAGTGTGAACGCGTATCCCCATTCACTGATCCCGCTGACAGATTCCCACTGGCTGATCCCCATTGGCTGATCCGTATTAGCTGATTGCCATCAGCGTACATTCAGTGCAACATCCTCTCACTCACTCCCATCCCCGACACATCCTTCCCTCTCTCACCCCCTCCTTTCTCCTTACCGTGCAGCCGCAAATCAGCGCGGACGACGCCAAGCGACTGACCCTCGTGCAGTACTCCGCGCGCGACGCCGACTTCACAGCGCAGGCGATGGCGGGCGCGGGCACGGTCGTGGTCACGCTGGGGCGCGCGGAGAACGGCGCGGGCAGCGCGGGGGTGGTCTCCCCGCAGGACGCGCTGGACCTGCTGCGCGCGGCGGAAGCCGCCCGCGCGGGGCAGTACGTGCTGCTGACGGACTTCGCGCAGGGCTCGGGTGCGCGGGACGGCAGCGTCGTCTCCTCCATGCTCGCGTTCCTCGGGTCCATCGGGCGGCGCGGGGTGTCGTATTCAGGCTTGGCAACGGCGCTGGCGGACAGCGAAATTTCGTACAGCATTGTGCGGACGGGGTTCTGCGACGGCGTGCCCGACAGCTTCATGGCGCGCTCGCAGCTGGTGGTGGGCGCGGAGGGAAGCATCAAAAGCGGCAAGGTGAGCGGCGGTGGGCGGAGGGGGGGCCTAGGGAGAGAGACAGAGAGGGAGAGAGCGGGTCGGAGGGCGAGGGATGAGCGCTGAGTGTGGGGCTGCTGGCAGAGAGGGCTGGGGATGGGAAGTGGAGAAGTGGAGGGGAAGCGAGGAGAGAGGCGGAGAAGATGCGCAGCGGGTCGTGGTGGCCCTGGGGGGGGGGGTGGGCGTGGACGGTTGGTGCTGTCTTGCGCTCATGTCCGCAGAGAGGCTTGCTGCCCGGGTGGTGTGTCAGCATGGTTCCTTCCACTATGTCGGCAGAGAGGCTTGCTGCCCGGGTGGTGTGCCAGCATGGTTCCTTCCACTATGTCGGCAGAGAGGCTTGCTGGCGGTACAGCGACCGCTCTGCGCAATCCGCGTGTGGTGTGCATTGGACACAACGTTTGTGGTGTGCCCGGGTGGTGGTGTGAATGCCTCTCAACCATCCCCTCTTACTGCATTCCCCGTTCCGCTCGCGCACCTCGTCATCAACCTTGCCCTGCACTCTCTGCCCCCCGCTCTGCCATCCGCTCTGTCCCCTCACTTTCCCCCCCCCGCTCCCCCTCCCCCTCTCCTCCCTACGGCGCGCCCACGCGCAGATATCGCGCGTGCAGGTGGCGCAGCTGGTGGCGGCGCTGCTGAGCGACCCGGAGATGGCGCGAGATAAGGTGAGTCTGAGGCGGGGGGTCATGCTGAGGGGTGGTGCTGCTGGGGTTGGCGGGGGACGGCATGGGAAGGGGGGGCATAAGGGAAAAGGATAAACTTAAGGCCTCGAACAGCCGCTTGTCTCATTCAGATGGTCAAAGGCAGGGGGAAAGGAACGGGAAAGCGACGGGATGCTATCCACTTGAGCACTTTTGAGCACGCACGCATGCCCGTTATATTTGCACTTCCACTTCCTGTGAAACCGGGGGTGGTATCACGCATACCCCTTCCCCTCTGCTACCACGCATATGTGCGCCCTGTAGCACGCCTTACCAATTCCTGTGCCCCTCCTCTTGCGCGCCCCTCCTCTTGCGCGCCCCTCCTCTTGCGCGCCCCTCCTCGTGCGCGCCGCTCCCCGCGCGCGCCTGTCCGTGTGGTGCAGGCGCTGGACGTGGTGGCGAGTGAGAGCGCGGAGGCCACGCCCCTGCGCGACATGCTCAGGTGCGCTGCTCTGCTGCTGCTCTGCTGCTGCTGCTCTGCTGCCCAACCCACACCACGCGGATGAATGGGAAACTGGTGTGGGGGCGTGCGAGCGCCACACAAGCTGGCACTGACGGTTCCGTCAAAGGGCCACATATGCAAGCGACCGAGCGACCGCACATGGCACTGGGCGTGCAGCGTGCTCAATGAGGCCATGTGAGGGGTTGAGAGGCAGTGCACATACCATATTGCACTCATGGCTGTCTGTCACCACCAGCTTTCCATAGTACCATGTGCATGCAAGACACCTCCTGAGCTTTCCCTCCCCAATGCACCTGCAGCACCCTCGCCTGTGCCATCTCACTCGCCTGCGCTCATACTCATACTGCTTACCCGCTCTCTGCCTCCTCCTTGCCTCCCCTCTCTCTCCTCTCCCTTCTCTTTGTGCAGTCTCGTCCCCCCTGACCCGCGGCGGGCCAACAAGCTGCTGGCAGCAGAGCGGGAGCAGGAGGAGGCAGCAGCAGCGGAGGCGAGGGAGGCAGCGAGCAGGGAGGCGGTAGAGAGGGCAGCACAGGCAGAGGCGCTGGCTAGAGCGGCAGAAGAGAAGGCTGCTGCTGAGGCCTTGGCAGGTGGGTTGTGGATGCTGGCGTTGGGAGATTCAATGTGTGTGGGAGATGGGAGATGGGAGATGGGTGCTGTTTGTGCGGGGTTTGATGTTGGTGCGGTTTGTGATTCCCAAAAAGCACGGAGTGCTGCAGCACAAAAGTGTGGGTACCTCAATGTCCCTTCCTTCTCCCCTCTCCTCACAATTGTCTCATCTCCCCTCTATCCCCCACCCCATCGCATCTCCCTCGCACCTCCAGCCAAGGCAGCACGGGAGGCAGCAGAGGCGGCAAAGGCGCAGGTGAATGCACAGGCAGCAACAGCAACTGTATCAGACATGGCGGGCTTTCTCAAGGGCGCATCCTCTGACCTCCCCACGCCCAAGTCCGTGCTCCCTTCCTTCGCCAGCCTCGTCCCGAAGACAGACGTGTTTGAGAGCTCCCAGTCCCAAGACTCTGCCTCAGACCGTGCTGCTTCCAGCGCTGCTCCTGCTGCTCCTGCGGCCCCTTCGTTTGCCAGCCTTGTCCCGAAAATCCCTGGCATCACTCCCTCCTCGGCTGCAGCAGCAGCATCTGCAGCTTCTGATTCACCTGCGCCGCCTTCCCTAGCTGCTGCTGCGGCTGCTGTGACGGGTGTGGTGGCAAGTGCAGCAGGGATTGTGGGAGGCAGTCAGGGGGGCACGATGAGAGGAACAGCAGGGGGCGCTGCTGCTGCTGCTGCGTTGGCTGCTGCAGGGTTGGCGTCTAAGCAGAAGAGACCGCTGAAGCAGAGGGAGGGGGGCCAGGGGAAGAGTGGGAGCAAGGCAACGCAATCACAAAGACCGGGGGATAAGAATACCGAGACGAAGACAGGGCTTAGGGGGTTGTGGCAGCAGGAAACTGTGTATGTGGACAGTGCAGAGCCTGGCGATTTCTGAGAATGTCTGCCATGCGATGCCATGGCCCTACAGCTTGACTGATGTTTTTTTTGTGTGTGATAGAACTGTTATGTGCTTTTTGTGTACGTGTGTGCGTGTGTGCGTGGGTGCACACTGAAACCAGTGTGAGGAGTGCTGCTGTGAATCCCACGTGACGGAACACGGACTCAAACTGGAATCGTCGGACAGAACATTAGTGGATTGGGGATTCGTCCATGGCCCAACGTCACCCATTTAGTAATGTGATCTGAGTGGATAAACGAGTAATATTCATTTTTGGTACTTTACCAGTACACAAATTGAAAGGTGTGTACTGTACTGTACGGTACTTGTACGGTATGTCTACCATTCAATAATAGGGGGATGAAGAATACCGGGGTAAGGCCAGTACAATCGGCCTCTAGAGGTACCCATATACTCCCCGACTCTAACGCATAATGCAGGTTTTGTTCGGCATTTTATGCTTATTTATGCTTTTCTAAGGTTATCTTCAGTGTTTAGAGCGAACGCCTCAGTAGCGCGTACCATGGCGGTGGTTACAACTGTAGCGCGAGATGGAATGCAACGAGTGTGGGTGGGGGGGTGGGGGGGGGTGTGGAATGCGGATGGTAGACGAGGATTGGAGAGGAAGGGAATTCGTAGGGGATTCTAGCTAGGAAAGCATAGCAGGTTAGGGTTTCATCCATGGCTGCAGTCAGTGTCCACATCGCGCCCTCTCCTCTACCTAGATTCCCGCGTAACAGCCGAGGCTAGTCAACTAAAGCTTCCTTTGCCAGTCAATCACACCATAGTTGGCTGTCTGCGCCTGCAGCAGCACTAGCGACAGCACGTCGGGGCGTGCGGGCTGCTCAACCCCCTTTCTCTGATTCGTGCGCCCTCGTTGGTTACTTTCGCTCTTGCTTTTGTTCTCAGATATTTTTTTTCTTTTTTTTTTTCTTACTTTTTGCGCCAACTCTTTTACGGTACGCGCTCCAACCTCTCCGCGTGCCGACGACGGCGACATGTCCTGGTTACTGAATTCGCTCGTCGGCAGTCCGCGAGCCGACGACGACGACGACGAAGACGTCGACGAAGAGGAGAACGACGACACTCTCCTTCCCGCCGCGGGCTCCGCCGACAATCCCGACAGCCCCGGCAGCGCCGCGCGGGACGCGGCGGCGGCAGCGGGGGTGCGCGACGACCTCACGGAGTTGCAGCAGTCGCTCACCAAGCACTGGCGGGGCGTCGCCTCCTTCCTCACGGGCGAGCCCCGCCGGCCCCCCGCCTCCGCCCCGCAGCCCCCCGCCTCCGCTTCCGCTTCCGCCGCCCTCTCCGCCTCCGCGGACGACGCGGCGTCGCTAGATCCGCCCGCGCCGCTGTCGCCTGAGGAGACGGCGGGGCTGTCGCGCGACGAGGTGCGCGCGCTGCGGTGGCGGCAGGAGTTATCGCGGCAGGCGGAAAAGGACAAGGACAAGGAGAAAGGCAAAGCCTCCGCCGCCGCGGCTGCGCCGCCAGGCCGCGGGGGTGCCGCGGAAGATGCACAAGGGGCGGGTGAGGGGGGAGCGGAGGGGGAGGAATCGGAGGAGGATGCGAGCGCGCGTCACGCGCGGCTGTCGGGGGTGCGCGAGGACTTGGCGGAGCTGTCGCAGCGCGTGAAGCGCGGGCTGACGTCCGTGATCCGCGTGGTGACGGGCGACGACGCCGCCGCCGGCGCTGGCAAGGGCGCGAGGGCAGGCGGACGAGGAAAAGCGCGGCGCGGAGAAGGAGACAGCGACAGCGATGGAGCGGAAGAGGAGGGAAGAGAGGAGGAGGAGGAAGACGACGAAGAGGAGGGGGAGGAGGGGGAGGAGGGCGAGGAGGATGAGGAGGAGGAGGACGGGGGCGAGACGCTGTTAGAGGCGGCGCAGGAGGATATCAAAGCCATCTCCAGCACCCTCGCCACCGGCATCACGGGCGTCGGCCGCCTCGCGTCGCGCCTCTTCGCCGCCACCGACGCGCAGCTCGGGCGCGCGGAGGGCTCCGGCGGAGACGGGGAGTACGCGGAGGGCGCGGGCGCGGGGATGGGGGAGGAGGAGTTTGGGGAGGCGGAGGTGGCGGTGGGCGTGACAGCGGACGTGGTGCAGTTCGCGCAGAACCTGTCGGGGCACCCCGAGACGTGGATCGAGTTCCCTCTGCCCGACGAGGAGGACGAGGAGGAAGGTGGGACTCCCTCCCCGCGCGCGCGCTTACCGCGCTTCCTCGCATGCATGATAGGCATTCTAGGGGGTAGCCCCGCGGACTGTTCCTCACGTCCTCGCATGCTTCGCGCTCGCTACCGCTCTCACCCTCCCGCCATCCCGCCCTCTCGCCTGCTACGGAGGCCCGCTGTCCCTCTCTCCATCAGTCGGCCACCGGCAGCGCCTGCCTGCCAAATTGCCATGCTTGTCGTACACCGCACCGCACACACTCGTGTCCCCCTGCCACGCGCACCCAGCTGCGTGCCTCCTCGCGGAGGCTCTGTCTGTCTGTGTGTCCGTATGCGCCACTGTCTCCCACCACCTCCCACCACCTCCCACCACCTCCTACCACCTCCCACCACCTGCTACCTTGGACCGCCGTCCTCACATCTCGACACGCGTCCCCGCAGCCATTTTCCCCTCGCTCGTCGCTCCCTGCACGGCAGTCCAAGTTCACAGCCCACATCCCGTTCGGCGCCCAGGCACGCACGGCATGTACGGGCACGCACAGGCACGCTGGGCCTCACTCTTCCCCCCCACAAACCAACCCCTTCCACCCTGCCCTCCTCTTTTATCCCCCACTTTTACCCCGTCCACTCTGCTCTACACGTGAATCAGCATGGCGAGCAGGAGGTGCGTAACCGTTTCCTCTCTCCTCACGCACTCACTCGTTGTCGATTCCCCATCATCTCCCTCCCACCCCCCTTCCCCTTCTCCCCACCCCACACCTCACCACCTCCCCTCTGACCCCCCCTCGCTCAGACTTCGAGGTGGCGGGCGAGCAGGAGGAGCACATAGAGGCGGTGGAGGCGAGGGTGCCACGGCTGGTGGCGCTGCGCATGGAGCTCACCCCGCAGCACCTCAGCGAGCGCCGCTTCTGGAAGATCTACTTCGTGCTGCTGCACTCCCGCATCCCCCCTGCTGCGGCCGCGCGCCTCTCCACGCCCCCCGTGATGCTCCTGCCCTGCCCTGCCCTGCCCTGCCCTGCCCTGCCCTGCCCTGCCCTGCCCTGCTGTTCCGTACCGTGTCATGCCATGCCATGCTGTGCCGTGCAATTCTGTGCCAAAAATCTCTGCCTTGACGTCTGTATCCCATCATGCTGCCATGCCGTATGGTTCTCGGAGCTTGTGCTTCGTGCATTCATTGTGTTCACTCTACTCCTCCTCGTTTCTAGCTTTCATCTCTAGATGCTGATTCCTGTCTCAACATTACCCTGTTCATTCCTTTTTCCCCAACCCCCTTCCCCCCTCTCCTCCTCCGCTCCGAACCCCCCCTCCACCTCTCTTTCGGATCCCTCTCGCCTTCTGCCCTCTGCTCAAATCGCCTCTTCTCGGTGTGTGTGGGTCAGATTCTGAGGGCTAGGGACCAGGTATTGGCAGCGTTACGCCAACAGTCTGCAGCTGGCATGGCAGGGGACTCGCCCTCCCCCTCCCCTTCTGCTGATACTGGCCCCATTGCTACTGCTGCTGCGGTAGCCAGCACAGCAGACCAGGGCAGCACCATGCAAGCTGTCACTGATGCTGCTGGTGGTGGTGGTCAGGGAGCAGGGAGCAGTGCTGACGTGGCAGCAGGAGTGTCAAATGTCAGGGATGAGGATGCGGATGATGATTGGCTGGAGGAGGAGAGTGGGGCGGTGCTGGGTGGTGGAGGGGGAGGGGGACCAGTGGGAGGAGGAGCAGGAGGGGTGGATGATGGGGAGGATGTGTCTTTCAGTGACTTGGAGGACGAGGATGAGGAGGGGGGGAAGGCTAAGGTAGACAGTAGCAGGGTGCAAGCGGGAAGCAGCGAAGCAGCAGCAGCAGCAGTAGCAGCAGCGGCAGTAGCAGAATCGGGAGCAGCTGGAGCAGGGGACGGGAGTGATGATCTAGATGATGACCTGGATGGTGATTTGGATGGTGATTTGGATGGGGGTGAGGATGTCACTGAGGGGGAGAACGCATCCGTTACTGCTGTAGGTGACGGTGCGAGCGGTGATGGTAACAGTGCTGTGCAGGGCGAGCAGGCACAAGGCTCTGCAGGTGCCGCTGTTGCGGCTGATGCTGCTGCTCAGACTGCTGCGGCTGATGGGGAGGCAGGGGATAAAGACGGTGTTGCTGAGGCAGGTGTGAGTGGGGGCGGTGCAGGGGAGGAGGGTAGCAAGGAGGCAGGGAAGGGAGGGGCTACGGAGGTGAGCAAGGAAGGCTCAAAGGAGGGGTCGCCTAGGGATGGTGAGGGGGCGGAGTGGGTGGATGTGCAGGGGAAGAGCAGAGACGGGGGTAACAGTAGCGCCAGCGGCAGTGGTAGCGGGTCGGATAAGACCGACTGGCTGACGGTGGGAGAGGAGGATATCGCCTGATGCTGTTGCTGTGCCACTTTTGAATCAAGGTAGGGTATAGTGGACTTGTGGAGAAAAGGCAGCATGGGTAGGAGAGGGAAGTTGACCATGAAAAGGCCGATGGGCTTATTGTGCAGTTGTACTGAGCGCTGCTTGTGTGCTGCCCTTACCGTACGGCTCCTCTGAGGTGGGAGAGTGTGGTTAGCCCTGTACGGTTACGTTCTTGTAGCACCTTGACCTTGACTTCGGTTTTTAACTTGAATTTTCCATTTCTCCTTTTCCCAATTCCTGCATTTGGTGCTCTTTTCGTGATTCCTTATGGTCTTGTCTGGTGGTTCCTGGTCTGCCTTGCAGTGGACCATTTATTCGTATGGGCAGCAGTAGTGCTCCGCTTGTGGCTCCCCCTACATTGGACCTTGGTTGTATATAATCGTGGTTCCAGAAATGGTGTCAACAGTTGCAAAGCAGCATAGACAAGTGTAATTCGGTAGCATATACCGCTCCGGTAAGTTCTGGCAACATTCCACATTCTGTACTGTTGGTTAACCAGATTATGAGAAGACTAGAGTTTAATAGGTGTGCCTGATTTCTATTTTCTTACTATAACTCTTCCTCTGGATTGGATAAGAAAAATGTGGCTTTCCATTCTATGTGGCTGGCAGACATGACAGCTCATGGCTTTTACAACTAATAATCGTTATGATCAGGAAAAGAAGGAAATTGCGTTCGTCAATTGCGCTTCCCAACCAGTTTGCACACTATCGGGTCAGTTTTTGTCCTCATCGCAGTTCGCGAGCTTCGAAAAGAGGTGTCATTCGGTCTGATTGGCGTACGAAAGTACAGTAGTGCGTGCCAATTCCGGCCCTCGACGGCCCACGTTTTACGTCGCCAACCGATGCTTCCTTCGAGCAGGGAACTGAATGTGGACGACGTGCGTGCAAACTCACTTTCAGGCCTCGCTCCTCACGCCCCCCCACCTCAACTAGGCCTCCTAAATGGAAATTATCCTCCAGGAAAGCTAGATTTACAGCGGTTTTTGGATAGTTTTCCTTGTAGCAGACTCGATTTATCTTGCGTGTACCGTTCCGTGATCATGGGCCAGCAGCAGTCAGCTAGCGGCAAGCAGGAAGCGGCGAGTGCGGAAGACGCGAGTGGTAGCAGCAGCAACAGCAACAGCAACAGCAGTAGCAGCAGCAACGATGGTAGCAGCGATAGCAGCGGCAGCAATGGAGCGCGCAGCCGCACCGGCAGCCGTCGCCGTCGTCTCTCTTTCCAGGAAGCTGCGCGTCGATCTACCCACCAGCATCGCCGTCGTAGTTGCACCGGTGCTCGCCCCACGGACCCTCCGCTTGCTTCGCACGCAGCCCACGCTGACGTGGCAGTCGACGCACCCTCCATGTCAGACCTGTCCCTCTGGAGCGACCGCTTACGCACCGCTAGTGGCGGCGACGCGGCTACTCCCTCACTCGCGCCCGCTCCCGATCCGACGAACTCCGTACGTACCAGCAGGACAGACGGCTCTGCCCCGCACGCTGCACTGCAATTCCCCGATACAAGTCACCCCGCTTCGGGATCTCAAGCCGTGCCCTGTCCGTCACCTCGTCACCTCTCCGCCGCCCCTCCTGCCGCCGCATGCCCGATTGCGGCACTGCCCGCCGACGTGCTATTGCACTGCCTCATCCGCCTGCCGCGCGCCGATTGGCCCAGGCTGCGCGCCGTCTGTCGCACGTGGCGCCGCCTCGTCGCCTGCCCCGACTTCCTTCGCCTGCGTCGCGCGGACGGTCGCAGCGAGTCGTGGCTGTTCGCCGTCGAGTGGATGTTCAAAGGCGGCTGTAGCGGCCAACCTTTCGGCAGTGCCAGTGGCGGCGGCAGCAGCGGCGCCGGGGTGTGGGGCCGGGGCGGTCGTAAAGGAGGCGGGGGCACGGCGAGGGGGGTGGGGGGTAGCAGCGTGGACCTGGGGGACAGCGGTAGGCGGGAGTGGGGGGAGGAGGAGGGAGGGGTGGGCGATCTTGAGAGCAGAGAGGAAGCGGGGGACGGGGGGAACGGGGAGGAGGTAAGAGATGGGGATGAGGAAAGCGGGGGGAGCGCGGGCGCAGGCAGTGCAACAGCAGGGGACGGGCATGGGCATACAGCACAAGACGAGGTCCCTCCTCTCGCCGCCTCCCACGGCCACACTGCCACAGCCCAGAATCGAACCAGATCGCGCGTGTTGCTGCTACAGCAGCAGCATCCCCAGCAGCGCACGGCCGTTAGCAGCGGCCAGCGCGCCCGCTCCGCCTCCCTCTCCCCGTACACCACAGCCCCCGCGTCCGCCTCGCCCTCCCTGGCGCTGCTGTGGGCGTACGACCCAGCAGCCAAGCGGTGGTACAGCCACGGGTGCCTGCCTCCCATGCGCGGCATCTGCCACTCGTCCACGCTGCTCGCCCTCGGGCCCTGCCTGCTGCTGCTCGGGGGGTCCTGTAGCTCCGCCTGCTGCTCGCCGGGAGGGGGCGCCTGTGGGCCTTGTGAGTGGGGTGGGGTGTGGGATGAGGAGGAGGAGTTGGTGAAAGGAGGTGTGGGGTATGGGCGGGAGGGAGTGAGGGGGAGCGAGGCCAGAATGAATGATGTGAGGCAGCGGGATGGGAAGCAGGCGCACATTCAGAATGTTATCGCAGTAGCCTGTAGCTTGTTGTTCCCTGCTCGCCTTCCAACCCTCTTGGCTTAATCCCCCCCTACTCCCCTTATTCCCTGTCCCCTTCTGTTTCTCCCAGCAAGGGCAGTGTGGCGTTACAACGTGGTAACCGGCAAGGCGCGGCGGCTAGCAGACATGACATGCCCGCGCTTCAACTTCGCTGCTGCCGTGCTGCCCTCCTCCGGGCGCATCATAGTGGCCGGCGGCACTGGCACCACCAACCCCACCACCACCACAACTGCTGCTGCTTACGCTGCTGCTGGTAGTGCTGCGGCACACATTGACCTTGATATCGATGGTGCCACTGGCAGTGGCAGAGGCAGCAGCGGGCAGGCAAGGGAGTGGGCAGTGGTGGGTGATGAGGCACTGCAGGCAGCGGAGCTCTACGACCCCACCACCAACCGCTGGCTGCCCCTGCCCGCCCTGCCCCACCCCACCCGCTCCGCGCAAGGCCTCGTTCTGGCGGATGAAAGCTTCTGGGTAGTTTCCACCTCGTCCCTGTGTGCCACACGGACACTGTCTGCTCAGGTGCTGGACGCTCCTGCCCTGACTGCTGCTGTTGCCACGGCTCTGGAGGGGACAGAGCGGGGCAGGAGGGGGAGTAAGGAAGGCTGGGGAGGAAGGAGGGAGCGGCACGGGGCAGGGGATGTGAGCAGCAGTAGGGCGAGTAGTGAGATTGAGAGAGTAGACAGTGGGACGAACATGTGGAGTTGCACGTCCCCCCCGTCTGCATGGCGTGTGGTGCCTAGTATGCTACCGAGCAGCGTGGCAGGGTTGGTGGCCACGCGCCTGACCACAGCCAATGGGCAGCTTGTTCTCACCAACCACGTGGCCCCCATGTGCCACCACGTGTTGCAGTACCTGCCCCAAACCAACTCCTGGCGGGACGCTGGGAAGCTTCCTGTGTGCGGGTTCCGGGGGTTTGGGGTGGTGGGAGTGGATGGGCACCTGCTGGTGGAAGGGGGTGTGGAGGCGGCAGCGGTTGATGGAGCAGTGGGGTTGGATCCTGGAAGGTTCCTGCAGCGCACACCGTATGTAAACGCCTTCCAGCCTAGGATGTGGGGCGTGCAGGAGGGGCAGGAGGTGAGGCATGGGCGGGGCAGCGGAAGGGGGAACAACTGTGTGAGAAGCAGTGGAGGAGATGGAAGGGGACATAGGGTTAGGCAAGGAGGTGATGAGGTGCAAGAAGGCATGGACGGTCATGGTGAAGTGGCAGTGGGACTACGTGCTGACCCGGCAATGGGGCTTCTGGGGAGGGGAATGGCTGAGAACGAGACGAGCAGGCAGAGTGTCAGCCACCTGCACCAAGGGGCCATTGGCGGAGCAGAGGGTCCTGTGTGGGAAAGTGAAGCAGGGCAAGCGGGTACCAGAGAGAATGCTAGTACCAACATGCATGCACCTGCACATGAGCAGCGGGGGAATGGAATATCAGCACCTGCGGGTGGGCATGGAGATGGAGAGGGTGTGGGAGGTGTGGAAGGTAGTGCAGGTAGTGAGGTGGTGCTGCAGGATGCAGTGTGGAGGCCTGTGCGGCCGTTTGGCAATGCGGGTGTTCCTCGTGTGTGCCAGTGGTGCGTAGTGTCCGCGCTTTAGGTTAGCTGCTAGGGCATTTTTATTGTACTACCGTAAAAGCAGTTCGATCCCTCTTACAATCTACGGTAGTAGCATTACTGTAGAAAGTTCAAAGCCCGCGTCCCAAATTGCGGACCGCGAGGGTCAAGTTTTTAAAACTTGACGAAGTTGAGTGTCCAAGCTTTTGAAAGTGACGCACCTGCAATTTGGGACTTTCGAAGACAGATTCACTCACCAGGGGGAAGGCCGAGTGTTGGCTGGGTCTCGCGAAAAAAGCGAACCTAGACGAAGTTGCGAACTCTTGCCAAAGCCTACACCAGAAACACTCCCTCTGGTCAACTTTTAAAAGCATGAACAATTTGGGCCGCCGGCTTTAAGGAGAATGAATGGATTAGGGTAAGGGGTGTAAGGAATTTTCTCGAATTCCTTATCGGGGTTGACTGCGACGCGTACAGCCCCGATTATTGGACTGCACGTTCGGCCGACATCCACGATGCCGAGGCTCGCGTCGCCTTCGGCTTTTCCGTTCGCCAAACCTGCACCCAACCTCGCGTTCCCGAGGTTCCCTCCTAGCTAGGGTAGTCACTATATTAGAATGCGCCTTCATTGTATTGTCAGTTTGTTAGAATAGAAGCTAGAGAGGCGAGGCTTTGTGAAGAGAGAGTTTGGCCAAGAGAAGGGGGGACGGGACGCACGGGACGCACGGGACGGAACGAGCGGGACGAGCGGGACGCGCGGGACGAGCGGAATGGGACGGGCGGCGCAGCAGGCGCTAGGGCACATGAGAGACGAGCGCGAGAGGCGCTAAGGGACAGTACGGGCGGGACGAGCACTAGGGTACGGGACAGGCTCGGGCGCTACGAACGAGATCGAGAGGAACGGGATTCCACTGGATCCTAACCTAGGTGATACCATGTCAGAATAGTCATGCCTAGCCTAAACCCTAGGATGGCTCCTAGTCTCACCCTCTAGCTACTATTTTGACATATCAGAGCTACTTTCCTAGTTCACCCCGCTTTTCGATGGTAGTTTGGTGGCACGGGTGTGGCTGGTATAGTGGACTTCACAACTGTTGGCTTCAAGGTTTGTAAATTCAATCCTGCCCGACTCCGATAGTTCGTGTTTTCCATTCGCCTGAAGGCCACGGAGACCCGCTTGCACACCAGATGTAGTGCTAGACATATGGATCAGGAGGTGGTAAAGAAGTTGATGGCGCAAGTGGTAGAAATGCAAGAAGGCATGAAGTCCTTAATGACGGAATTGACAACTTTACGTGGAGAAAACGCCGAGCTACGTAAGGCGCGAGGTGAAGCGCGTCAGGAGTCGCCCGATGACGAAGACGAGGGCGGTGAGCAAGCCGTTGGATGCGCTCACATGTGACTTCGAAGAAAAGGATAGGCAGCGAGTGGCAGGGACACCAATTGCAGTAACGACGATCAATATCAGTAACGATGATCCCACCCCCGTTCAACCCTGCGGACAAGGCGACTACATTGAAGGGGTCGTTGTTCGGTGTTGAAGTCTTATTCGCTGCAGCATGTGTGAACGACGATGCCACGCGTATCAATAACGTGGTTTCGCTTCTTCGAGGCGCACCGCTTGAATGGTGGTGCCGAACCTTGGAAACAGGGCCCTCGACATGTGTGACACATGTGGCAGACGGGACCTCAACAGTGACTAATCAAGTGGCAGAACCGATCTTCGGAGTGACCAAGATACGCATGTGGAAGGAGTGGGGCTCAACCTTACGAGATCGCTTCGAGCTCGTATCCGCCTCGGAGCAAGCTCGCATGTGTCGAAGAGAAAGGCCCCGCTCTCGCTTGGGCGCAGCCGATCTCGCCGTCGACGGGAAGTTCTCGACGGATTGGTCGAAGAAGTGGGCTTCTGCAGTTCGACGGAAGTTGCGGTCGAACAGGAGCTTCTTGGCAGAATCTGGTCGACGTGTCAAACTTGTATGCTATAGTCTGTGTAGGTTGTAGTGGGGTAGACAATATGGGGTACAACAGTTTTAGGGTTTCATACTTGTACCCACCTGCTTCCTAGTTCATTCATTCCTCGTTAATCTAACATGGTATCACGAGCCTAGGTTGCCACCTAGGACCGCTTACTACTACGGGCCCACTATTCTACTAGAAGCGCCCTCGTGCGCCCTACCTTACGTGCGCCCTCGTGCGCCTTTCTCTGCTAGTGCGCCCTCGCGCGCCCCGCCCTTCGTTCTGCCTGCGCACCGTCCTGCAGCCCTCGCGCTGCCTCCTGCTGCCCTAGGCCAGTGCGCCGCCCCTGCAAGCTATAAGGCCCTCGAGCCGCCCCATGCAGGCCCGTCAGGCCCTCGAGCTGCCCCTGCAGGTCCGTCAGGCCCCCGAGCCTCCTCTGCAGGCCCGTCAGGCCCTCGAGCCGCCCCTGCAGGCCCGTCAGGCCCGAGAGCCGCCCCTGCAGGCCCGTCAGGTCGGGCGCGCTGCCCCTGCAGGACCACGCCGACCGCGCGCCGCCCCTGCAGGCCCTCGCTGCCCGCACGCAGCCTCTGCAGGCCCGTTAGGCCAGCGCGCGACCCCATCAGGTCGCAGTCGCGGCCCCGTCAGGTCGTAGTCGCGGCCCCGTCAGGCCGCAGTCACGGCCCCGTCAGGTCGCAGTCGCGGCCCCATCAGGCCGCACTCGCGGCCCCGTCAGGCCGCAGTCGCGGCCCCGCCTTGTCGCTGACGCGGCCCCACCCTGCCGCGGTCGCGGCCCCGCCCTGCCGCCGACGCGGACGCGGCCCCGCCCTGCCGCCGACGCGGACGCGGCCCCGCCCTGCCGTGACGCGGCCCCGCCAGCCCTGCAGCTGACGCGGCCGCGCCCTCCTGCTGACGCGGCCGCGCCCTGCTACTGACGCGGCCGTGCCCAGATGCTGACGCGGCGTCGCCCCCGCCTGCCGCGTCACCCTGCCCGCCGCGTCGCCCCTGCCTGCGGCGTCGCCCCTGCCCGCCGCATCGCCCTGCCCGCAGCGTCGCCCCTGCCCGCGGCGTCGCCCCTGCCCGCCGCATCGCCCTGCCCTACCCCGCGCCGGGCCCCTGGAGCAGCCGCCACTGCAGCAGCCGCCCCTGGCCCCTGGTGCAGCCGCACCTGCAGCCGCCCCTGGCCCGTGGAGCGGCCGCCACTGGAGCAGCCGCCACTGTAGGAGCCGCCCCTGGCCCCTGGAGCAGCCGCCCCTGGAGCAGCCGCCCCTGGAGCAGCCGCCCCTGCAGCAGCGACCGTCGCGGCCCTGTCCCTACCCTGCACAAGCCGCAGAGCTTCCTCCCGCGATGGCGGCCCCGCCCTGCCGCTGTAGCAGCCCTGCGGCCGCCTCCGTCGTGCGCCTGTCCTTCTCGCCACTGGTGAGCACTGCCCTGCCCGTACTGCTGTTACTGCTGCTCCTGGCGTGGCCGGATGCAACTCCAGCGCATTCCGCGTGAGTCCCTCACGCCCCAACAGCTTCGTGAGTGGTACGCTAGCTGGGGTTGTAGGGGTGGCCGCGCTGCTACTGCTGCTACTGCTGCTACTGCAGCTACTACTGCTACTGCTACTCCTGGCGGTGGCAAGCTGCAGCTACAGCTAGGTCCGCGTGAGTCTCTCCCGCCCCAGCAGCTTCGTGAGTGGTACGCTAGTTGGGGTTGTCGGGGTGGCCGTAGTGGGAGTCGTCCTGGAGTGAGTGGTTCGGGAGCTTCTTGTAGTGGCCAGGTGCAGCTGCAGCGTCGTCCGCGCGAGACCCTTTCGCCCCAGCAGCTTCGCAAGTGGTACGCTCAGAGTAGAGGGTCACTGAGTACTGCTCGCTGCCCGTACGTCATTCGCACGGGTGTCCGGACTAGTCAGCCTTGCGGGACTCCTGGTCACACAGAGTCCCGCTGCTTCGCCCGTCTGAGCGACGCTTGGCGTACAGAGTTTGGCGACGACGCTGAGCTCCCCTCCTGGCTGGAGCTGCTTAGGCATAGGGTAGATATCTTTGCTATTGACTATGATTCTCTTCTCACTGCAATGTATGCATTGTGTACTAGTACTGAGCGTGCCTGTCACCTGTGTGTGCCGCCTGACCCCGGTATCCAGTCTGCTGCTCTAGGTGCTGGTGAGGCTGCTGCTCTAGGTGCTCGTGCGTCTCCTGCTCCAGGTGTCGGTGGCGGTGAGGCTGCTGCTCTAGGCGCTAGTGAGTCTCTTGCTCCAGGTGCTGGTGAGTCTGCTCTCTCTGGTGCTGCGCCTGCTGCGGTCTTGCACACCTTCACCCTTGACTCGGGTGCTTCCCGCTCCTTCTTTCGAGACCGCACCACCCTCACACCTCTTAGTCGGCCGGTTGTGGTCTCCCTGGCAGACCCCTCTGGGGGTCCTGTCCTTGCTCACTACTCCACTGTGCTACCGTGTCCGGCGGCCCCGTCTGGCTTCCTGTCAGGACTTTACCTCCCCTCGTTCTCTACGAACTTGGTGAGTGGTGCTGACTTGCTGGATAGAGGGGTTGACCAGTTCACTCCTGCAAGTCAGCGAGGGACCCACTGCACGTGTGCTCGGACGGGCCGACACTTGGCCACGTTTACCCATCAGCCGGGGTCGAGCCTGTACACACTGACGACCGAGTCTCCTTCGGTTACTGCGTCTGGTCAGTTAGCTGCGTCGGGTCAGGTGTCTGCTGCAGCCTCTCGGTCTGGTCCTGAGTCTGCCCCCTGCTCGTGTCGCCTCCTGTCCCACCGGACTCTCCTCTAGCACCACCGCCTTGGTCACCCCTCCCTGCCTCGTCTCCGAGGCATGGCCTCCCGTGTCCTTGTCTCTGGTCTCCCCAGGTCCCTCCCTCCCCTTCCTCCAGGGCCTGCCCCTACCTGCGTTCCCTGCGTCAAGGGACGGCAGCGCGCCTCTCCTCACTCCTCCGAGTTTCCTCCGACAGAGGCTCCGCTGCAGACTCTCCACATGGACGTGTGGGGCCCCGCCCGCGTCCGTGGACAGAGTCATGAGCGTTACTTCCTGCTGGTGGTTGACGACTACTCGCGTTACATCATAGTCTTCCCCTTGTGCAGCAAGGGTGAGGT